AGGGCATCCGCTGAGTAAAAACTTGCTGGATAAGTTGGCAGTTCATTCCGCTGTGGTGACCCCGGATTAATAAAGGGACTAAGCCGACAAGAAAATGAATGAATGATACGTCTGATTGGTTGGTTAGTGATTAATGATGCGAGACCAGCCATGCTCGAAACAATGTGAAGTAACTTTCTTCAGGCTTTTGCTGCGGATAATGATTAACGATATTTTTTCTTCGTTAAGACTATCCTGCTTTGATATACGCAACATTATCATCAAAGTAATCTAAAAGTAATCCAAAGTGGTCAGATTACATCACAATATAAGTGTAATCTAAAGCTGACTACACTCTCAGAAATAAAGGTACAAAATCTGTCGCTGGGGCGGTACCTTTACAAAGGAACATTTTTGTTCCTAACAGGTCCCTAAAGGTACATATTAATACCTAAAAATGAAAGTGGACCCTAAAGGTACTAATGTTTACTTGTATATTACAAATGTGTACTTTTGTACTCCGCAGTGACAGATTTTGTACCTTTATTTCTGAGTGTGTGCAAGTTCTGTCGTGTAATTTGTAATCATGTTCTTTAAAGTTTGACTCAGGAGTTCTCCAGGGCTCGGTATTGGGCTCTCTAAAGTTCTCTTAAAACTCCTTGAAATGTTTCAGCAAGCATCTGAACAACCGTTTCTTCTCCATACTTGATGATTTTTAACTTTATAAAAGCTTTCTCCACATTTCTGCAGTGTCTGTTATATCCTTAATATAATAATTAGTATAATATTCGGATAGAAGTTATGATAAAGCGGCAGTCTTGTTCTTAATGACCTGTGTTGCGTGTGTCGGAGTTCAGATGTAACTCACTTATAAGTCGCTCAATGGTATAATGAGTGCTGAAATGATTAGTCTGAATGGAGTCGCACACTAATGAGGGATCCGTCACATTTCACACATCCTCCATTTATTCCTGATTATCCTTTAATAGGTCACATATCCCGTGTCTTTAATCTAATTACTGAATTATAACCTCAGGTCAACACTGGCAGCCGCTGATGGAAACTCACATGCTGCTTTTATTAAACTGAAGCGGTTGCATAGATATCGGGTGATTAAACTTGAAGATTTAGACTGATGAAAGTTTTAATGAGCACATGCTAATGAAATTAATCTAATATTCATCTTATGACTATGTTTCTTTATGTAGAAAATAATTTTATATATATATACATATTGTATGTATATGTAAATATAAGTAAGCGGTGGTATGGTGTCTCAGTGGTCAGCACTTCTGCCTCACAGCAAGAAGCCAAAGAAGAATGAATGAATGACTGACTGACTGTTGTTGTTGTTGTTGTTGTTGTTGTTGTTGTTGTTGTTTTTACAGTGAATTACCTTACACAGATTTTGTTTACTTTGAGACAAACAATGTGTGCTAATAATGCAAATAAACATTGCACATTTTGATTTTATTCTGATTTTTAATATTATTTAGATTTGTTTTAAATAAATTGCACTGTATTATCATATGCAACATTTTTTTTGTTGTTGTTGTTGAACAGCAGTCATTTTATTATCTGACATTGAAAAGGCATCATTTAAAAATAGATTATAATCTACATTTTTGATAGATTACTATAGCTATTAACACAATTTACAAAAAGAAGGACATATGTTTTAGTGCAAAATTAATGTTTCATATTTTAAAATCACCATCCATTTCCCATGCATATATAAGATATATCCCTACGGAAAATAATTAGGAAAACCCATGAACATTTTCTGAAGTTACTTCATTAGTAAAATGGGTATATATATATATATATATATATATATATATATATATATATATATATATATATATATATATATATATATATATATATATATATATATATATATATATATATATATATATATATATATATATATATATATATATATATATATATATATATATATATATATATATATATATATATATATATATATATATATATATATATATATATATATATATATATATATATATATATATATATATATATATATATATATATATATATATATATATATATCTATATACAGAGATAGAGAGACACACACACACACATACATATATATATATATATATATATATATATATATATATATATTTAT